GCCTGTCACAAGGTCGGCCAGTGCTTCTACTGCCGACCTCACTCAGCCACCGGCCAGTAAGGCCAGAGCTGCTGTAAAGACTGTAAAGACTAAATAGGTCCCTCCTACCCCTGTGGGGCACCCACTTTCGACGTTCCATAGCTTACAGCGACGGGGTTTCAGCGGAGGGCACGGTAGACTATTTCTTTGCCCTCTCTTTTTCCCCTCTGTCGCTACTATCTCTTCTTCTTCCTCCTCACGCCCGCCCCTCTGATGGAGTGTGAGGTGCCCCACCCCCCTCTTTCCAGCCCCTCCGTCTGCTCCACACCCCCTCCCCTTTCCCCTCCAGCAGACACCCTCCTCCCTGTGGAGGATGACACCCCTGATCCCCCACATCGGTCTCTCCCCCGAAGGTCGGAGTCCACCATTCTTCCTCGAAATCTCCTAGTAGCGTGCGCCCAATCAAGGGTGGAAACCTTGCAAACCCCCTGCCTCTCCTTCAAAGAGGAGTCAGAGCACGCTGAAGTCAGAGCCTTTGTGCTTTAAAAAACCCTTTAAAAAGCAACCAATGGCAGTCATACAACTGAATGCCGGTGGACTCCGATCTTCCATTGCAGAATTGCAACACCTACAGACCACTCTGTGCCCACTTGTGGCTAGCATCCCGGAGACAAAGTTCGCCCCGGCTTCAATCATAGACGTAAAAAGATTTAGTGCGCATCATCACAATTACACAGAGAACCAGAGCGCCCACTGGAACCATCATCTACATTGACAACAGCATACTCCTTTGACAAATACATTTTAGGGCAACCCGCTAGGCTATTGATGTACGGGTCACACTGCACAGACTAATCACGTTCTGTTCCATTTGTGTCCCACAAAATTACCCTCTCAAAATTACCCAACTGAATAACTAAAAGCACTGGCTCCCAAAACCCTTTATGTTGCAAGGAGATTGTAATGCCCACAGCCCCCTTTGGGGAGACAAGCCCACAAACAACAAAGGTAAAATCAGTGGAGATTTCTTATTTTTTAAAAACAAAATTTGTCTTATCTTTTGAACAATAGGCCCCCACCTACTCAAATAGATCCACATTAAAATTTGGCAATTCACCCCTTGACCTCACCTTTTGTATCCCTGATCTAGTCCCAGATCTTGAGTGGTCTGTGCTGAATGACCGTATGGGCCATTTCCTAATACTACTTTAACAATTTTGCCTCCAAAATGACTCGATCCCGGAATTCTTCGATTTCAAATAAGCACACTAGGACGGGCTCGCCATTGAATACTCCCATATTTTGAACCCCGCTTTCGGCCCCAACTACAACAAATTTGACGAAACACTTTTATAAATATGGCACAAATACATACCAAAAAAATCTCCAACACCCGGGAAGAACAAGGCCTGGTTCTCTAGGGAGTGTGATGCTCCCTTCAAGAAAACGAGAGCAACATATCAAAGAGTCGTCGACAACAACACCACACAAAACAAAACATTAAAAACCCAAAAGCACGCGCTGAGGCACGTAGATGCTTCAGGGAGAGCAAAAGAAACTCTTTTCATACGTATTCAAAATCAACAGTCGGACACCAATCAACAAAGTTCGATCATTAGGCATTTACCCACAGAAACACACACTTCTTCTCAACATGTACAATGACATGCACAGTCACACACTTATCCGGAATCATGGAGACTTGCCACAGTCATTTCT